CCAATCACCAGGAGACGGTGAGTTCTAGTCCCGCCTTAGGCATGAAAAATCAGTTAGGCAACCTTGTGCCAGCCACTTTCTCTCAAGGCGGCTCATCTCACAGGATTGTTGTGGGGAAACCAGGAGGAGGAAGAACTGTTGGATATGTTTGTCACCTTGTGCTATTTATAAAAATAATAAATTTAGGACACATGACCCAAAGAGCCAGGCCAGCCTCGCCTTCTGCTTCTCGGTCTCAGGGTCACCGGCAAGAAGGGTGAGAGCAAAGCCAGATGTTGCCGCTCTCTTTACCGACAGCTCTTTGTTATGGTAAGAGGGCTACTGAGCATGTGGCGCTCTTCCCTATTCACCAAGCCTGGCATTGCGACCTGAAAAGTCCTCGCTTTGTGACCCTATGGTCAGAAGAGTGGAAAATAGACAGATTCACCCCCTGCCAACGTGCATTAAAAATGTAGCACAAGCCCTAAAATAAAGCAGGATGTGGGTGTGTGCGCGCATACTCCCCTGCCCTGATTCAAGCAGTCAAGGAAAGGGTGTGGGCTGGCCAAGCTTTCTTTGCCATATCGCTTCATCCACTACAGATACAGATAATCAGAGTTGGAAGGGACCTTGTAGGTCATCTAGTCCAACCCCCCCCCCCCCGCCCAAGCAGGAGACCCTACACCATTTCTGACAGAGGCAGTCCAGTCTCTTCTTGAAAACCTCCAGGGATGAAGCTCCCACCACTTCCAAAGGCAACTTCTGTTCCATGGGTGGATTGTGCTCACTGTCAGAAAATTCCTCCTTATTTCCAGGTTGAAGCTCTCCTTGATTAGTTTCCATCCATTATTCCTTGTCTGATGCTTTGGAAAATACCTTCCCCGCCATCCTCTCTGTGGCAGCCCCTCAAATATTGGAAGACTGCTATCATGTTTCCCCTGGTCCTTCTCTTCCCTAGACTAGCCAGGCCCAGTTCCTGTAACCGTTCTTCATATGTTTTAGCCTCCAGTCCTCTAATCATCCTGGTTGCTCTTCTCTGCACTTTTTCTAGAGTCTCAACATCTTTTTTATAGTGTGGTGACCAAAACTGGATGCTGTACTCTAGGTGTGGTCTTACTAAGGCTTTATAGAATGGTATTTAGAACCTTCCTTGATCTCGATTGTATCCCTCTGTTAATGCAACTTAATAGGATTGCATTGGCTCTTTTTGGCGGCGGCTGCACACTGCTGGCTCCTATTTAGCTGGTTGTCCACGAAGACTCCAAGATCCCTCTCACAGTTACTGCTATTCAGCTGGTTTCCCCCAATCTATATGTGTCCTTTTGCATTTTCTTGCCTAAGTGTAGGACTTTACACACAAGCCCCCAGTTTCCAAGGTTGCCCGCTGTCTTTTAACACCTTTGCAACTGATGGCAGGGGGGCTTTTAGTCGGGGTGGGGGGTTGGGGGCAATGGCTGTCAGTAGGTCTCGACCAGGACTGGAGTGAGAGAATTGCTGTTGTCCAAGGCTCTGGTGCCCAAAGATGGACACAGAGGGGAGCCTGTCTGGTCTCCTGCTCCTCTGCCTTTTTTGTCCTCTCTCTCTCTCTCTGCCCCGTAGGGCAGCAGCCTCGTCTCTCCCTTGTTCTCCCTGAAATATTTCCCTTGGGCTCCCTGTACCAGCTGAAGCCCTTCCCTGGGGGGCAGAAAAGCCAGTGTTCCCTGTCAGCCTCCCAGCCCAGGAGTCTGCCTTCCAGCTGTTCTCAAGGACAGCCCTGGGTCCCGCCTGGGTCTCTAGGGAAAATTGGCAAAGGGTCATCCTTCGCATGCGTGCACACCCACACACACACACACACACAGTTGCAGTTTCACTGGAGAGGTGAAGAGCTTTGGTGAATTTCCCAAGGACCCGAGTGACCTTCTCAAGGTCGGGATGGTTTGATAGCTGTCTCCTCCTCCTACTGGAAGGGCTGTCGCCGAGAAGAGGGGACCGACATTCTGCCAAAGCACCAGAGGGCGGAGACAAGGAGGGTGCAAAGACGTTTCGTTCTTTAGCCAGAACTCAAGAGACTTTCCCCGACACTGAGAACAATTAATTGGTACCTTCAGAAGTGGTGGGCGCTCCATCGGGGGGTTTTTTCAAGAAGAGGCTGGACAAACATTTGTCCAGAATGGTATCGGTTCTCCTGCTTGAGCAGGGGGCTGGACTAGAAGACCTCCAAGGTCCCTTCCAACCCCATTATTCTATGTTCTGTGTTGCCCTGGCTGATTTCCCCTATTGAGGTGCAAAAGTCCTGTTTCCCCTATTGGGGAAAGGAAGACATTGGAGAGAAAAGATGGGGGGCCAGGAGGGACACCCCATTCCTTTCCTCTTGTGCCTCGGAAGCTGCTTGATGAAGACTCAGATTCCCAAGACCCCAAACGCTACAGAAGTCTAAGTGTTATTGCCCTCCCATCCATCCATCCATCCATCCATCCATCCATCCGTCCGTCCATCCATCCATCCATGATGCACAGTAGTTAGAATACAGTATTGTAGGCTGACTGCCCACTTCCAAGAGTTCGATCTTGACCGGCTCAAGGTTGACTCAGCTTTCCATTCTTCCGAGGTGGGTAAAACAAGGATTGTTTGAGGGCAATAAGGCTAACTCTGAAAGCTGCTTAGAGAGGCCTGCAAAATACTATACAAGTCTAAGTGCTATTGCTATCCTTGGCTCTCGTCCTGGGAATGGAACAAGGCCAAATCAACTTGGAGACCCCCTGCACAGTGGGACTCAATCCTAAAGTTGAAGGAGAGCCCAACCAGACCCCCTTGAAGGCAGCGTGACTGGGAATTTGAAGCAGAGCCAAAGAAGAGAGCAGCCTCTCCACTGCTTTGAGATGCGTGGTAGCTCAATTGAACCTCCTTATCTAGGAGCAGTCTACCTCTGACTACCCGAGGCTGAGGGCAAGCAGAGCATTCCATTCGTGTCCTGCTTCTGGACTTCCCAGGAGAGCTCCTTACTAGCTGTCATTGGGCATAAGCCTACATTGGCTTGTGCTCTGCTCCAGGGGACCGTTTCTGTTCTCACCCATTGTCGCTTTTCCTTCCTCTGCGTAGCCTACGCCATTCCTGTCCACAAGAACTGCTTCCCGTTGCTCTTTGCCTTGGGCATATTCATCTGGTCCCTGCTGGAGTATCTCATCCATCGCTTCATCTTCCACATGAACCCTCCAGCCAGCAACTACTACCTGATCACCTTGCATTTTCTCATGCACGGCCAGCATCATAAGGTAGGGGGGTCCTGGGGAACTGGGGTGATGGCAGCTTGGGGAGAGAGAACATCTGGCCCTGTCTCACCAACACCACCCAGCTCAAACAGCAGCCCAAAGGAAAGCCTCGCCCAGCAGTTTTGCGCATTGAAGGGGACTGCCAACATTGCAAAACTGTCAGCCGTGGAAAAGTCAAGGCTGACTTGATGGTTCTCTGTGTGTGGGTGTGGGTGTGTGTGGCCTCTGCTGACATCGTCAGAGTGTTAAGCTACCATTACAGAGATCTTTGCCTTTGATATCATTAACCAATTTAGCCCTTGGACAGTAATAGGTAATTAGCTCTGTTGTTTTTGCTTTCGTCATACTGGTTAACGGGGACTTATCTCTTGTTGCTGTCTCCTGTGCCTGACCCAGCCTGGGGTAAATATATATATTATAAATATATATATTTAAATATAAGTAAATATAAATATATATATTTACCGTTTATAACAATTTTATTAATATATGATATACCAAAAAAATGATTTGATTTTGGGTTTTACCAATTATTAGACTGATGGATCCTGATAGAAATGGCTAGTTTATATTATTATTAAAAAAAAAACAGAAAGTTGTGATTAATGCCTTATTTTACTGCAACAGAGAGAGTCGGAAGTCAATGCTTCTTTTTCTTTTTCCTAATCCTTCCTCACTTTTCTTTCCCCTCCCTTCCTCCTCACCATTTTCCTATTTTCTTTCATATTTTGTATCTTATTTTATCTTATAACTCAATAAAAGTTTGGAATAACAAAACAAAAAAAATACAAAAGCAAAAAAGAAGGAGAAATAGGGAAGGGAAAACCCAAATACCTTTATTTCTACCTGGAAACCACTTCTGGACTTTGTGCTTAAGGTTAGAAAAAAATGAAACTTTGATTTTGGGCTTTACCGATTAGAAAGCAATAGCAACAGCACTCAAACTTATATATTGCTTCACAGTGCTTTACAGCCCTCACAAAGCAGTTTACAGAGTCAGCCCCAACAATCTGGGTCCTCATCGATATGGTGTTGCGGAAATTGCTAGTTTAAGCTCCTAGATAGATATGGAGTTGCAGAAATGGCTGGTTTAAACTATTAGGTAAAACTAAAAAGTCGTGGTTTGTTGTTATTATTACCCTATTCTACTGCATCCAAGAGACTCAAAAATCAATGACTTGATTGGGCACAGAAGTGTTCCGTGCCCGATTAAGTTGCTGCCCGACATAGGGCAGTTCTGCACAATATCCTCAGCTTGCTTTCTCCCAGTCCGATCCTGAAGTTTACTTAAGGGATCCCAGGCTGGATTTAGCAGGGCGGAGTCATTGTTCCCATTAATTACCTTTCTACCTGTATGGCGAGAGCAAGATACACCGAGTGGCCTCTGGAGGTAGGGATCTACCAGGGCCTGCTGACGCTTTGCGGTAGACCCCTTCCATCCTAGAGGGATCTGGTTGCACCTTTTCCATCCACCTAATTTTATCCAAAGGCCTAACGTTTTGTGAGATCACATCATAGGAATGATCTCTGTTTATGACTCAAGGGATGCCATGGCTCAGTCTCCAAGACGCTGAGCTCGTTGATCAGAAAGGTCAGCAGTTTGGCGGTTCGAATCCCTAGCGCTTCTTTGCCTTTATGACTCAGTCTTCTGCCATACTTTCCCAGCCTTGTTGCCATTTAGGCATGTTTCGATTCTGCCATTCCGTGCCACCCAACTCTCCACAAGGTTCAACACCCTTGTTTGGCATTTTAATCCTCAAAGCAGGAAGAAGTTCAAAGCCTTTGGAATTTCCCCAGCTCCGCTGTTACCACTGAGGGTGGAGATGGGTGGGAAGGAAGCTCTACCGAGCCACAAAGGAGAATTGTGGGAGTTGAAGTCCACACAGCTTAAAGTTGCAGAAGTTGAGAACCCCAACCTCTCTCTCTTGGAGATCTCATTTTGTCCCCTGTCGTCTCTTGCAGTCCCCCTTCGACAGCTCCCGCCTGGTCTTCCCACCTGTGCCAGCTTCCCTGCTCTTCTTCGTGTTCTACTTTATTGCTCAGCTGGTTTTCCCTGGAGAATTTGGGCTCTCCATCCTGTGCGGGGGAATCGTGGGCTACGTTATTTATGACATGATGCATTATTACTTGCACTACGGCTCACCCAAAGAAGGCACCTACCTCTACGGTCTGAAGACCTATCACATCAAACACCACTTCGAACACCAGGAAGCAGGTGAGGGGGTGAAGGGTGCAGCTGGGCTTTGGGGCAGGGGTGGGCTGCTGGGGGGAGGGGTTCACAGGGGTTCGGGAGAGCCCCTAGCAAAGATTCTGTGCAGTTCGGAGAACCCCCAAATCCCACTCCTGGCTGGGCCCGCCCACCCCTCCCAGGAGTCCCCAAATGGCCCATTTTGGATGCAGGTAAGTGCAGGCCTTGCACGCAGAGGCTCGGGAAGAGTGAAAAAATGGGCCTCTCGGAAGTTCGGGAAGGCTAAATATGGGCCTGTTTCCAGCTTCCATAGAGCCTCCGGAGCCCGGGGAGGCCATTTTCGCCCTCCGGGAGGCTCGAGAAAAGCCTTTGGAGCCCAGGGAGGGTAAAAAACGGGCCTCCCGGAAGTTTGGGAAGGCCAGAAATGGGCCTGTTTCTGGCTTCCAGAGAGTCTCCAGAGCCCAGGGAGGCTGTTTTCACTCTCCCGGAGGCTTGAGGAAAGCCTCGGGAGCCCGGGAAGGGCAAAACTGCTCCCCCTGCCGTGATGCAGGAGGCCAACTAGGCCACGCCCACCATGGTCACGCCCACCCAGCCACCAGGCAGAGAACCCCTTGCTGAATTTTTTTTTTTTTTTGTAAATTTTATTGAGTTTTCACAAAGAGAAAAAAAATACAAATAAAACATCTTTTTTGAAAGCAGCATAATCCCGGGTTACATTTCTTCGTACAGACACAAATTCAGGTTCATGCTCATTTTTATATTCTATTCCATATCTTATTACTATTTTACATTTTCTGCATAGCTTCTCCCCTCTTTTAATTTTCTCAATTTTATTTTAATTATCTCATCTCAATTCAAATCATTGTATTTATATATTTGTCTGTCCTGTTTAAATTATCTATTATCTTTTCTCATTAAACAAAATTTCTCCTGTAGTTACTGATTGGAGTATGACGCCTTCATATCTTTTCCCTAAAGTTTTAACATTCAATATAATACATAACTTCCATTCGGATTCTGCTTGGTACATTCTTAAAATACACACTGTATTCTTAAAAAAAGAAAAAAAATTATAAATGTATATAATTAAAACAACATTCCATTCCAATTCAATTCTATCATTAATATTAATATTCATTAAAGTCTTAACATCTTTAATATTACTTTTCAATTAAATATCATACTTCTATGGGAACAATTATAAGCTTTCCATAGTTAATTCCCCCCCTTCACGTTATATTTTCCTTCCTAATTCAATATTCTCATTTATTTTATTTCACTTATTTTATTCACAAACATTTCACTAAATTACACTAGCTATTTTATCCCTCATTTTAATCATAGGTTGTTTCCAATTTTCTAAAGTTATTTCTATTACTAACATAACAATACAATCTTATGTACCTTTACAGAATCCCTTTTTCAGTTAGATTTTCACCCATTATCTCTAAATAGGTCCTGTTTCTCTATATCTTGCTCCGGTCCTTTGTAACTTCTTTTCCTTTCCTTCTTCCCTCTCTTCTTCTCTCTCCCCTTTTTACCCCCTTGTCTCTCTACCTCTATTTCTCTCTTCTGTATTCCCCTTTTCTGTTGCTTTCCAGTATTATACTTATTTTTTGAATTATTTTTCTTTTCTTTGGTTGTTTTTTTAAGTCTTAAATTCTCCATTCTCTTTCCCCCCTTTCCCTTTTCTTCCCCACATAGAATTACTTGTTCATTAAAGATGGCTTCTTCTTTGTCCCAGTCTTCTTGTTTTGCAGTCTTTTCTTGTTGTTTCTCATAGTTCCAAATCTCCATTTCTAAGAATTGAAAAACGAAGCCAAAAGAACCCTTCCCTTCTTGTGCATCTTCTTTGTACTTTTTAAGTTCCATTTTCAATTCATCCAGAAGTGGTGCCATTGTATAAATTTTTAAACAACCACCCGATTGATTTTAGTCATTCAAATATAATAACCAAAAATCCAAAGATCACCAAATAATCCAAATACACGCAAGCTGTTTCTTTTTTGCTCCTTTTTTTTCACTTTCTCTTCCTGGGGTTACTATTTAGTTGCAAAGTTTCAGTTAAAATGTATCTTTTAGAAGTCCTGTTAAAGTTTTACTTTAGATTCTTTTAATTCCAGGCAGTCTCCTCCCTCTTCCAGATCCTGCCCTTATTCTTTTTCTCTCCCTTCCTGCTTATGAAAAAGAAAGTTTTTAATGTTCAGAAATCTTTGGCATTTTGTTTTATTTTCAGCTTAATTGCCTATTGATGTCAAAGCGGATTTTTCCGATTTCTTATTTAAGTCTCTTAGTTGTCAGTATAGGGAAGGAGAGAGAAGGGGAAAAAAAGCCAAACTTTTCCCTTTTCACTTTCCTTCGCTGCTTCCGACTGTTCTTTGGGAGCGATGTTATTTTTTGTAAGTTTAAATTCCAGGGTACCTTAGTTGTTGCTTTTACAATTTAACCCGGTCAGCCAAAACTTTCACTTCTTATCTTCCTCCTGCACATTCTTTTCCGGTCGAGTTCTTCTTTGTGGTGGCCATTTCTGACCACCGCTGCAACCGCCTTCGGGAAAGGGAGTGATGGCCATCTGAGGAGGAGAGATGCGGCTCTCCTCGACCCTGCTGGTGGTCTCTCCCCTCTTCACCACCTCTATGGGGTGTTCTTGTATTGTTGCAGTTGAAGCTGAAGTAGTCATTGACTGGTAGGACATTGTAAGCAGATAACTCTGTGATGCTGTATGTTGCATTATCATCCTGTATGTTCTTTCTTCCCCTCTGCCCAACCTGCAGGCTTTGGGATTACCAGCCGATTCTGGGATCGTCCCTTCCACACGCTGATTCCAGAAGAAAACAACAAGAGCGACTAGCACCCAGCGTTCCTGCTCGGCCCCTTGTGCTGCAGGGAGAGTCCTGGCAGCTGTCATCGGTGGAACTTTGGAGGGCCTGGAACAGCTTTCGGACTTGGGCCAGGGAGAGAACTGAGTCTCCTTTCCCTTGCTGCTTTGGGGCCTTATTTGGGGGGGGTTCTCAGGGGCCAAGAGTGCCTTAAGACATCCTGGAGCTGTGAAGAAGCAAATGCTGGGGAGAAGCAAATGCTTAGCATCATAGTCAGGGAAGGATGTCATAGCAGAAATCCTGCTCAGCTTTATTTCCTTTTACTTAGGGTGTAATTTTATTAAATATTTTTTTTCTTAAAAAGAAAGAACACGAAAGCTAATGCAAACTAATATAAAGTGAGAAAAGGAAGAGAGCAACGAAGAAATCAAAGAGAAAGCTAAACGTGCAAGAAAAGGGAAAAGAAAAATAGGAAAAAAAATTCAAAGAGGTAGTTTCTGATCTATTTTACAGCTGTTATAAGTACGATTATAAAACTTATTCTGTGGTTACGACATAACTCTTCTCTCTATAATGTATCCTAATCATCCAAACCATACATCGTAAGTTCATTTTCCCCTCTATTTTACACAGAAAGTCCATAAGGGCTTTCCAGCTAGCAATAAACATAGATAATGTCTTTTCTGTGATTGAAGAAATCAATTTAGCCATCTTAACAACTTCCATCACCTTCACCAGCCATTCCTCCATTAAGGAATAGTGCCAAATCTTTCTGCTTTTGCACCTATTGCTCAGCTCCCTTTCCAAGCACCCAAATCTTATTTTGTCACAAAAATAGATTGAATCTATCCATATAACATCTAAGCAGATCTTGTGGGAGAACATGACTCACCAGGGTTTCCCGGTTCTTAGATGTTCTGGTTTCTGGTGCTGTGTTTTTTGGGCGAAAGAAAGGGTGTTAGAAAAAGAGGAACCCTCCAGGTGACTGTGGTTTAACCATCTACGTCGATACACTTGGGAGAACATAGAATATAGAGTAATACGTCACATGAAGTGATGGTACCACTTTATATTGCACTGGTGACACCACAGTTAGAATACTTGCATCCAGTTTTGGTCACCACAATGCAAACAAGATACTGAGAGTCCAAAACGAATGCAGAGAAGAGCAACAAAGATGATTTGATCTTCCAATTTTGTTGGGTGTCACAGGGGAGCCAGTCTATTCTCCAAAGCGCCCAAGGATAGGACAAGACATGGAAACTGATCAAGGAGTAAAGCAACTAAGGAGAAATTTCCTGACATTTTTCCAGTGAGACCAGTCTATCAGGGCAACCTGGTCTACCTAAATATGGGATGGAGCAGCCGCTTTGATGATAAACTATTTTTTGTGTGTTGAATTTATACTTTACCGACAAAGAAAGAAAGGGAGACTAGTATAGATCTATCTCAAGCTATTTAGCTCTCATCAGCTAGTCATACTCTTTCTGGGATTCGAACCCGGGCTACTTCCCAGAATCCCAGAAAGGGGTATAGCTAGCTGACGAGAGCTAAATAGAGTGAAATAGATCTATGCTAGTCTCCCTTTCTTTCTTTGTCGGTAAAATATAAATTCAACACTTCCTGGCAGGTAGAGCAATTAAGCAGTGGAACAGCTTTGCCTTCAGAAGTTGTGGGTCCTTCCTCACTGGAGGCTTTTAAGAAGAGACTGGATCCAGTCACTTGTCTGAAATGGTTTGGGGTCTCCTGGTTGAGCAGGGGGCTGGACTAGAAGACCTCCAAGGTCTCATCTGACTCTGTAATTCTGCTCCTTCTGTTTTGTGACATCACAATATATGTAGAAAAGGGGACCTGTTCGATGCTGCGGCATTGCTTTGTCAGCCTGTCACCCGTAGACTGGCTCCATCCAGCAAAGTTGTTCTCCATGGGCATTCAAATCTGCAAGATAATGTGTGGATGTTGTAATTTAAGTCCCACCCCTTATGTGTGTGTGGGGGTACTCCCATCCTGATGGTGATCTTCCCTCCATGGATGTCCCTGTTGTTGCCTGCCAGCAGCCAGTGGAGCTGGCAGCAGATTCGGACAGTGAGGAGGTTGGGGAGGAGCATGGGCCACTCCTGGAGTCTGGGGAAGGCTCTGACCAGGGCTCTGCGTCAGAGGCAGAGATGGGGCCAGGCCATCCGACAGTTACCAGCTGCCTTTGGAGTCGGAGATCAGTGGGGCAGAAGAACAGCTGGAGCCTGTTCCCAGTGTGCACATACACAGAGCTGCCAGACGAAGGGAACAGCTAAGGAACAAGGGTCGACTCGGGAGTAAAGGCACAGGTGGACAGTGAATGGCCCCTCGCATAGGGAATAAAAGAGGAGCAAAAGCGGGGTGGGGTTTTGCAGGAGACAATTAGTTCATTTGGGTGAAGATCTGTTCCGGCATTCTTGCCAAGTATTGTGCGTTTGAAAGATATCAGCCTGGCAGCTCTCCAAGCTTGATAGAGGTCTGTAATTGTGAACTATCTTGAAAGTTTGTTGGCCAGAACTTTGCTGGAGAGGAATTCACTGTAAACTAAATAAAAGGGGTTTATCAGGACAAGGAGTCAGCTTCATGCTGTTGGGGAAGCCGAGGTCAGAACAGTCCCTGGACATAGGCACCTTCTCTGTCTCAGCTACTACTGCATTCCCAGGTGCCACGGCCAAGAGCCACTCCTTCCACCCTCAGTCCAGGGGTCCTTGGAGGTGTCTCCCTCTTGAGATGCCTCCTGCACCCTTGCTCAAATTGTGCCCTTCTGTTTCCAAAGGAGGGGAGGGTCAACTCCTGGCCTTGCCCTGGTGGCCATATTGCCAGTGGTGTCAAGGGCCAGAGGGTTGAATCCTCACTAGACTGGGATGGAGGGCTCTTGCAGGAGAGCAGAATTGGATGGTTCTAGTCCAGGGGTCTCCAAACTTGGCAACTTTAAGACTTGTGGACTTCAACTCCCAGAATTCTCCAGCCAGCAAAGCTGGTAATTTCCCCTTTATTTGCTTTACCAATGCTATGTAGAAACAGCTACAGCAGATGCTTAGAGGTGGTATTTTTTTAATGTGATAGGAATCAGGGAATGTGTTAACTGAAATTTGCATAATTTGGTAAGTTATCCTTTTTCAACCTTAGTAACTTTTAAGGTGTGTGGATGTCAACACCCAGGAACTTCCCAGCCAGCATGACTGGCTCAGCAATTCTGGCAGCTGGTTCACACACCTCAAAGTTACTAAGGGTGAGAAACACTTTTCAGGAGTCCGTACTAAATTGGGGTTGTTGGCTGGTTTGAGCCTCGACAGACAATGCTTTGCAGCGTTGCAGGATTCTAATTCTGGAAAAGACACTCTTGAGTTTTTCCCAAAGAGACTTTCTCCAGCCTGAATGGCTAATTTGTGTAGATAGGATGGTTGCTAGTGATGTCGCGGGAGGGCCATATAAATTTATATGGCAAGAAAAAAAAAAGGACTGACCTATTTCATTACAAGACTTCAGCTTTCACGAACCACTGTGGCCTTTTAATTAAACTGGTTAGTTAGAAGAGAAGTTGGGCAGACTTCTGATTCTGTGGAGTGAGAACAAATGAGAACTCGTTTGTTATTGCAAATTGGAGCCTGGAATGTTTGCCCAGCTCTGATCCAGTTTGGATTAACAGAATAACAACATTGGAAGGTACCTTAGAGGTCATCTAGCCTAACCCCTTGCACAATACCATGTCAGACAAGCGGCTGTGTCCAGTCTCTTCTTAAACGCTTCCAGGGATGGGAGCACCCACAACTTCTGAAGACGAGCTGTTCAAGACTAGTTCAATGTCCTCACTGTCGGGAAATTTCTCCTTAGTTCCAGGTTGCTTCTCTCCTTGATTAGTTTCCATCCGTTGCCTCTTGCCTTGCCTTCAGGTGCTTTTAGAGGTGTGAATGATTCACTTTGCAAGCTTCCTCATAAGAAGGGAAAGAAGCAGGCTGCTCGGGACATTCTATCCTCATAGGAGATCCTTGGTAAAAGAACTTTTCTCTTACCTCCAACTCCCCCAACGGGTAAAACTTTGCGCTTTCTCCACCTATATCCCCAAAGCAAGAGTCTTTCTTGGATTTTGTAAGGTCATTGGTAAACATGCCCCCATCTCTGCTACATACCAGCCTTGTCATCTGGAAGTGTTCACCAAGAGATAACAAAAAGCCAAACTAGGGTCAATCATAAAGGATTCAAATCAGAGGTGGTAATTCAGCAGGTTCTGACTGGTTCTGGAGAACCGGTAGCAGAAATTTTGAGTAGTTCAAAGAACCGGCCAATCCCACCTCTGACTGGCCCCGCCAACCCCATCTCTTCTCTGCCTCCCATTGAGTCCCAGCTAATCAGCTGGGTCTCCTTTGGTTGCCCTGCACAGGAGAACGGAGCTGGAAAGCAGGCTAGTGGGGTGAGGAGGAAATGGGGATTTTGCAGTATCCTTCCCCTGCCACGCCCACCAAGCCACGCCCACAGAACCCGTAGTAAAAAATGTTGAATCCCACCACTGATTCAAATGCTTTTATACCGGTGCTCATCGTATGAGGAACAAACAGGCAGCACTTGAAGTTCTAGTACAGGGAATTCATTTCCATTCAAAATTACAACGGCCCTGAAAAAAGTGACTTATGTCTGCTTTTCACCTTTACAACTGTTGCAGGAGCCTCAGAGTCATGTGGTCGCAATTCAAGACACTTGGCAACTGGCTCATGCAGTGTCCCAGATTCATGGAATAAACCTTTTATAAGCTGGCAAGCAGAATCAATGAGAAAGCCAGGTTCACTTCACAACCTTATTACTTAACAATGACGATGATTTCACTTAACAACTGTAGCAAGAAAGGCCACAAAACGGGGCAAATATTCTCTTAAGAATTGTCTCACTTAGTAATAGAAATTTCAGGCTTAATTGTGGTTGTAAGTCGAGGTTTACCTGCAAGTATGATATTGCAACTATTACTGAAACTTGCTGGGATGGAACCTATGTCGAACCCACAGCTAGGAGGATATAAATAAACGGTTCAAAAAGAACACTTAACAAAAGAGGAAGAATTGTATCGTGTATAAGGAATTATTACACCTCCTCAGAAAGCTTTCTAGAAAGTATTGGGGTAAATATTAAAGAAAAAAAGCCATGACTTTGCTATACATTTGTACTACAGGCCGCTCAACAAACCAGAGGAAATACATGTACTCCTTTGCTAATCAGTTAGCGTAGCTGGGGCATGTAGGAAACACCCCCCTGTAGTAATGGGGGACTTTACCTTGACATTAACTGGGAAACAAACTCTGTTTTGAAAGGCCTTCTGAAATTCATCCTCTCCAATGAAAGCCATTGCAAAAATGCAGCTGCGTTTCTCTCCTTTCTGCCTTTTGACTTCCCCTTCTTCTAATATTGACCGCATAAATGTTTTAGAAAAAGAAGGATGGTGGCGTATAAACTATAGTCATGAGATACTTGTACATAGATGATGTATATTTTGACAATAAAGAACCTTTTGAAGCTTCTGTGCATGTGGGTGTAGTGGGGGGTGGAAATGCTGGAGGGAAGGGAGAAGAAGCAACTTTCGATGAACAAGATTTTATTCCACCCACCATCTTGCAATGGGTAGCGTGGGCTAGTTCCCTGTTACCCAGTATGGGGGTCAAAGGGGGGGAGGGGGAAAAGGGGGAAGTCATTTCTTTATATATTTCTTTCATTTTTCTTTATTATATTTCATTTTTTTCCTATTCTTTCTTTTCTACTTTCTTTTTTCTGCACTTACAATTTATTTATTTTCCTTTTTACTTAGTTTTATTGTTCTAAGTGCAATTTTTTAATACAATTACTGTTAAAAAAAACTAATCGTGAAGGCAAGGAAGGATGTTGTGGCTGACATTCTGACAGTTACTTAGTCTGTAGCTCATTGCTGCCAGGAATTTATCCTCTCCTTTCCTAAAGCCAGCCGGACTTCTGATGATTGGTGGTACAAATCCAATGACCAGGACCTGTCTGACCACTAAGAGGGGCTGTTGTATAGAGAGAGTTAAGGACTATCACTTACTGGTCACTCCCTCTGCCTGCTCTTTGTCTAAGACAGGGGTGTCCAACCTTGGCAA